GGGAGGGGGCTCTCAGGGGAGGGGGCACTCAGAGGGAATGGACTTGGCCCTGAGCAGAGCCGGGACCAGGGACAAGGATGGTCCGGGCAATGTCGCCCTGTTGCTCGTGTTTGCTGATCTTTAAGCAGCACTTGGGGCTCCATCTAGATCATTCCCGACCTCAGACATCCTAAATGTCCCAGACTTTTCTCCATTAGGCCGCCGCCCTGTTTTTCAGCGTGAAGAGCCCCAACTTCTCCCGATTCACCAGGCCTCTCCCCCCTGGCATCTCTACGTACAGGACCTGCAAGGAGTCTGTGAAACCCTTCTAGCTGAAGCCCCCAGCCCCGCTCCCCGTGTGTCCTCCCTGGGTTCCACAGTGCACCGAGGCTCCCAGCGTGACCTCTGCAGGTACCTCTCTGAGCACCCCACCCCCCTCTGCAAAGCGGGAGGGCTGGGGAGGGATGTCCGCCTACTCAGGGTTCGGTTCCCCACCCCAGACACACCATGGAGCCCAGGGGACAGCCAGGTGAACAGAGATGCTGGCGGCCGGGGGCAGGTGTCTCCCCGGGGGGTAGCCAGACCCGCTCCTGGAGCCACGCCCAAGGAAACGTTGCCTTTCCGTTCAGTGGTGCATCATGGGACTGCTGACATTCAGACCGAGCCTCTGATCATCGCCTGCCCCCGCCCCCACCCCCTGCCCTGTTTCAAGTCACTGCTAGAAACACTCCAACCTTCAGAAACACAGCTTTGTTGGAAAAGCAATCAAAGACCGATGAGGAGTCATTTCTAATTTCAGGCTGTGGGCGGTCATCACTCCCGTCACTCGGCTGATACTGGGGCTGGTTCCGGGCGACGTGGGTCTCACCAGAGAGCACGCGGGGATCGGAGTGACGGGGACGAGACATCCCTGCGCGTCGGCCTCACACAGACCCTCCTGAAACCTCTAGGTGAGCACGGACACTGGGGGGTCGAGCCCTCCGAGAGAACAGGACTCCCTTTGTCACGGCTCCGGTGAGTTCCCAGGACAACTGTCTCCCTGCACATCCTCCCTCCGTGGACCAAGCCGGCAGAGACCGTGCGAGCGGCTGTACGTGTGCAGGTGTCCAGTGGGGACAGAGTGTCGCCTGCCCCTGATGCCCGGGTCACAGGAGCCACGCGCCCAGTGCTGAGGGGACCCCGGAGCCAAGCTGGTCGTCCGCCTGCCTCGCTCACCCCGCTGGGCACATCCCCTAAGCCCGCACCCGTCCTGATCCCTCCCGCCCCCCCCGCACCCCTTACTGGCAACACACAGGACAACCGACAGAAATAAAGGTGTCAGCATTAGCAAATGCCACAGTGCTCACTTCAACCATCGCCCTGCGAGTTTATCTGAATTTGAGGCTTTTCCGTTTGTCTCAGAATCACTTAAAGGGTGCTCTTCCCCGAGGAAGTGAACGCTTCCACAGGAAGGCCCAGGCAGGAGGGAGGGCACATCTGGGAAATGCCCCCTTCTACCAAGTGCCCTCCCCAGGGCTGCGCCTGACCCGAGGCCTCGGACTGTGGCCGGTGGTCACCTGACCCAGCGTCCCCGGGATGGAGAGGTCGCTTAGGCCAGAGGCTGGGACGAATGCATGGAGGAAGGCCGCAGTGAGCTCATTTCCGACCTGGGCGTCAGCTCCCAGCGGATCCTCGCAGCCTGTGGGGTCCCCACGGCCCAGCGGGGTGCGCCGGAAGCCAGGACAAGCCTGCGCCGTTCCCAGCGGCCTCATCGGGCCTCCGCCAGAGGCCCTTCCCCTGCATGGTGTCCGCAGCGGCAGGCTGGGAGACCTCCGCCCTCTCCCTTCGGGGCCGCCCCTGGGTCACTTCCAGAGAACGACGGCATTCCTTCCACTCCCAACGTGGCTGTGGCGGACGATGCTCCCGGGAGGTAGAGAACCCCAGGTGGCATCTGAAAGCACTTGGAACATCCCTCAACATCAACCGGGTATCTGGGAGCAGGTCTGACCCTGAGGTGGTAAAGCCCGTGGCAGGTACGTGAGCTCCTCTGCATCGTGGACCCGCATCGTGTCTGGGCTGCGAGGGCTCCCAGGCACATGCCAGGGCCAGAGACACGGGGGCCACGGCTCGCGGTTTCCCCACGACCCACTCACAGGCCGCCCCTGTGGGCAAGGTCAAGGGCCACTTCCTGATTCTCAGGCGTGATGCGCTTCTCTCCCTGCTGAGCTGCCTACAACGTCACCTGTGGTCCCCCAGGCAGGACGCAGGACGCACTCGGCAGACTCAGAGGCCACTTTGCAAGGTCTGAGTCACTTCCGGGGAAGGGCTCCCTCGGCCCATCCACCCGTGACCTGGACAACACCCATGGTCTTGCCGCACTATGAAGGTGGTCAGGAACCAGGCGAGTACAACATTGTCCCCACTGAGCCCCTCTGCCACCCACTGTGGCACGCGGCACCAGCCCAGACTCCCACCGACATCCTTCTGCGGTGACCACCCCCACCCCCAGCTGGTATTATCTACGTTTAAATTCTGACCCCCTGGATGACAGTAACTGCCTAAACTTACTCTTTAGAACGAAGAATACAAGTGCACGGTCCAGGAAGCAAGCCACCCCCACCGTGCTCTGTTCACAAGGGAGCAAGTCCCTAGTTGGGAGGCGGTGCTTCTTTTCGGTGCCTCCCATTTGCCCCAGGGCATTTGCACAAACCGCAGGGCAGGGCGTGCGAGTACTCACTCATACGTCCAGCACAGCTTCATCAGCTCGTACATCTCCCTCGGACACCCCGTGGGGCACCCCATTCTCTCTCCTTTCTCCAGCATGGCCGAAACCTCGCTTCCCTTCATGCCCTGAAACACGCAGAACATACCCGAGTTTGGTGAACATGGTGTTGACTACAACAAAACAGCAGGTAGGACCTACCCCCGCCCCAGAGAAACAGAAGTACACACTGCGCGATTTCACTTGGAAAAAGTACAAAAAACAGGAGCTCCTAACCCGGGATCTAGACATCAGACGGGGTGACCCTTGGGGGACAGCTTGTATGTGCAAGGGGAACCGGGGGGTGGGGGGTTCTGTTCTGTTTCATCGCCTGGGCTCTGGTTTCATGAGCACATCCCATTTGTGAAAATTCATCAAGCTGTGTTCCAGCACATGGGCCCTTTTTGAGATGTATCCATTCGGATTAAAAAAAAACAAACAAAAAAACAACAACTAAAATATTTAACTGGACTGCAAATGTAGTCATGGAAATTGCCATCATTTCTATTTCAACTCTAACGAATGTTGATTTGGGTCTGTTTTATGCACACCACCAGGCATAACGCGTCATGAAAAACACATACACTGTTCAGTTGTTATCAAATACTGCCTCTTCAACTTAGAACAAAACTGAGGTCCTGTTAATGGCTCACTGGCAAAAAGGCCGTGCAAGACTCAGAAAGGGTGCCCGGATTTTATGATTTTCCAAATGGGTCCCGTGGCAATAGCGTGTGGCTGATCTGTCTGATCTGTTGTGATGGCTCAGTGCAGCCGCGGCGGCTCACCCGGTACGGCTTCTGCCCGTAGGAGAACGCCTCCCACATCAACACGCCGAAGCTCCAGACGTCACTCTTGCTGGAGAACTTGTAGTAGTTGATGCACTCGGGGGCGTACCACTTGACCGGCCACTTCCCGTGGGTCTGGGCCTGCGGGCAAAGCAGACGGGGGCACTCCGTTAATGACAGGATCGCGGGCGCCCCCGTTCATGGCAGCAAAAGGCGGGAGCCCGCCTGGGGTCCACCGCCGGAGGAACGGATAAACAACATGTCGATATTCCTATGGTGGAAAGTCACTGGACCTTAAAAAGGAAGGGAATTCTAGCACATGTTACAACAGGGATGGACCCCGAGGACATTATCCTCAGTAAAACAAGCCCGGTCAAGTCACTAAGGTGCAAATACTGCGTGAAAGCATCCCCCTGAGGCCCCTAGAGGGCTCCCAGTCACAGACAGAAAGTGCAGTAACTGTGGCCAGGGCCTAATGAGGACCGAGTTTCAGTCTGGGAAGATGAGAATTCTGGACAGAGGTTGTAACCGCAGGGAATGTGCTTAACATTACACTTAAAAACGGTTACGATGGTCAAATTTAGGTTATGTGTATTAACCACCGTTAAGAAAAACAAGAATAGGGCGCCTGGGTGGCTCAGTCAGTTAAGCTCAGGTCATGGTCTTGTGGTTCGTGAGTTCAAGCCCCCCGTCAGGGTCTGTGCTGACAACTCAGAGCCTGGAACCTGCTTCAGATTCTGTCTGTCTCTCTCTCTTTCTCTCTGCCCCTCCCCTGCTCATGCTCTGTCTCTCTCAGAAAGGAAGGAAGGAAAGAACAAAGGAAGGAAGGAAAGAAAGAAAAAGAAAGAAGAAAATGACTCCCCAAATGTCGTGTGCATGTTTGCATGTATGTATTTGGTCTGAATCTTAAAACTATGACTATATTTTAATTTTTAAGATTTAAATAAATATTAATTTTTTTAATGTTTATTTTTATGACAGAGAGAGAGAGAGCACGAGCAGGGGAGGGGCAGAGAGAGGGGGAGACACAGAATCCGAGGCAGGCTCCAGGCTCTGAGCTGTCAGCAAAGAGCCCGACGCGGGGCTTGAACACACGAACAGTGAGATCATGACCTGAACCGAAGTCAGACACTTAACTGACTGAACCACCCAAGCGCCCCTAGATTTAAGTACATATTTTTAAGATTCAGACTGTATTTCTTGTACCTTTTTGTCTTTTTTCTCTCACCTCTTCCTGAGTGACTCATATTTCATGGAGCTTGTTGTAACATGCAAAGAGTCAAGCATCAAGATCCCATGGTCACGCTCCAAGAAATACTGGGCTGTAGCATCTTTAACTATCACTGTGTTTTTGTCCATGATTTTAAGCCGACATTAATTATTTTGTTACAGATTGCAAATATTGCTTAAAATCTGTTTTAAACTTTTTTTAAAAAAAGATTTTATTCTTAAGTAATCTCTACGCCCAACGTGGGGCTCGAACTCATAAGCCTGATATCAAGAGTTGCATGGTCCACTGACTAAGCCAGCCAGGCGCCCCCAAAATGCTTTAAACTTTCTAATTTCAAAAAGCAAGTGGTAGGGGCACTTGGGTGGCTCAGTCGGCTAAGCGTCCGACTTCGACTCAGGTCATGATCTCACGGCTCGTGAGTTCGAGCCATACATCGGGCTCTGTGCTGACAGCTCGGAGCCTGGAGCCTGCTTCGGATTCTGTGTCTCCCTCTCTCTCTGTCCCTCCCCTGCTTACACACTCTCTCTCTCTCAAAAATAATAAAAAAATAAAATAAAAAAGCAAGTGGTAGTAAAGAGATCAGAATCGTGCCCCGCGAAACCCTTTACTCTAGGGCTTGGAGTCTGGCGCACGTAAGTTCTGCTACGTCCTGTGGACGGAACCGTCACAAGCACCCTTGTGGGGAGGGAGGTGGTGGGTTGAGAGGGGACAGCCCGGGAACATCGGCCTGAGAGCACAGATACCATGGCCCATCTCTAAACGACACACTGATTACACTTCCATCTCAATCATGTTATGCATTATTTTTAGATTCTGACTTCAAACGTTGTGAACAATATACTCGTGTGTTATTTTGGTCTTAATTTTAATGTTGAGGTGATACAAAGGAAACCCTTTGACAAATCCTATATACATCAAAAAGGTAAATCTCTCTCCACCAATTCCAAATCCTCATCCACGGAGACGGCCGTGTTTGGTAGTTTGTCCTGAATCTTTCCAGAAAAATCTACATACGAGTACAGAGAGGGAATATATACATTTTTGGAGGTGGAAAAGCTAGGAGCGTATGTTTTGCACTTCATTTTTTAATGGTGCTGCTCAAGCACGTGTTGTAGATATATTTCCACGTCAGCACGCACAAATAGTCACTTTTAGAAGAGTTAATTGCATGCCTCCTATAAATCTAGTACGACTGATGTAACCAGCCTCCTACCGAGAGACCATGAGGCAGTTTCCTGATGTTTGCTATTACACGTCATTCTAGAACGAACATTACTGGCCGTGTGTATCTGTGCCCCGTGCAGGGCAGAGCTGCAGGATCAAAGGGCATTTGTGTTCGGCGCAAGGTCACGTTGTCACGCACAGATGTGCTTCCATTAGTATCATTTCTCTGTAACGTTGTTTAGCTCTCGATTCTGTTCCATTTCACCCTGTCTTCTCAAAGAAATGGTCCACGTCTCCGTCTTTTCAGGAGTGCGTGATCTCTGTGCTGCTTCTAACATGCACGCTACGGTGACTGAGCCACACAGGTATTGCAAGATGTTTACCAGAGTAAGGTTACTTAGCACATCCTTCATCTGACAAAATTACCATTGCTTGTTGTTGTGGGGAGAACATGCGAGATCTATTCTCGTAGCAACTTCCACGTATATATATAGCACGGTCCTATAGGCTGCAGGCACCATACCCAACACAGACCCCCAGAATTTATTCCCCTGATAACTAAAAGTTTACGTTCTGAGACTACCGTCTTCTCATCTCCTCTACCCCTCAGTCCCGGACAACCAGAATCTACTGTTTCTGTGAGTTTGGCTTTTAAATTCCACATATAAGTGAAAGCATGCAGTATTTCTCTTTCTCTGTTTGGCTTATCACTCAGCATAATGCCCTCGAGGACCATCCGTGTTGTTGCAAATAGCAGATTTCCTCCTTTTGTTATGGTTGACGTATCCCATGTGGTTGTCTGTATTTTAAACCAACACACACACACACACACACACACACACACACACACACACACCACATCACGTCTTCTTGATCCATTCATCCATTGTTTGATATTTAGGTTGTTTCTTTATCTTGCCTATTGTAGGTAATGACTACAATAAATATGAGAGTGTGTAGATATCTCTGCTAGATGGTGATTTCATTTCTTTCAGATAAATGCACAGAAGTGAGATTGTTGGATCACATGGGAGTCCTATTCTTAATTTTTTAAGGGCTCCCCATGCTGTTTTCCATACTGGCTGCACCAATTGACATTCCTACCAACGGTGCAAGAGGGCTCCCTTTTCTCCACATCCTTACCAACACCTGTTATTTTTTATTTTTTTGATAATATTCATTCTGACAGGTGTAAGGTGGTATCTCAACGTGGTTCTGATTTGCATTTCCCTGATGATTTGTGATCCTTTAGATGTACCTGTTGGCCATTTGTATGTCCTCTTTGGTTACAGAAATACAGAAAAAGAATAGAAAATGTTTATTCAGGTCCTTTGTGCATTTTAAAATATGATTTTTGTTTTATTGTACTTTTTTGCTATTGATTGTATGAATTCCTTATAGATTTTCAATATTTATGCCTTGGTTTGCAAATATTTTCTTTCATTCCATTGGTTGACTTTCACTCTGTTGTTTCTTTTGTTGTACAGCAACTTTTTAAAAAAAATTTTTAATGTTTATTTACTTTCGAGACAGAGAGAGACAGAGCATCAACGGGGGAGGGTCAGAGAGAGAGGGAGACACAGAATCTGAAGCAGGCTCCAGGCTTCGAGCTCAGCACAGAGCCCAACGCGGGGCTCAAACTCATGGACCTTGAGATCATGACCTGAGCTGAAGTCGGACGCTTAACAAATGGAGCTGCCCAGGTGCCCCTGTACAACTTTTTAAATTGACATAATCTCATAAGTTGATTTCTGTTTTCGTTGCTTGGACTTCTGCTGTCATATCCAAAAAATTCATTGCCAAGACCAATGTCAAGAAGCATTTTTCACATGTTTTCTTCTAGGACTTTTGTGGTTTCAGGTCTTATGTTTGAGTCCTTCATCCATTTTGAGTTAATTTTTGTGAGTGGTATGATATAGGGGCCCAATTTCCTCCTTTTGCATGCGAACATCCAGTTTTACCAGCACCATTTATTACTGAAGAGACTGTCCTTTCCTGAGCATTCTTGGCTCCCTTGTCAAGTATTATTAGTTGGCTATTATTTTAGGGTTATTTCTGGGCTCTTGGTTCTGTCTCGCTGGCCCATGTGTCTTTATTTACATCAGTACCATACTGCTTTGATCACTATAGTTTTGTAGTGTGGTTTGAAACCAGGGAGCATGACTGCAGCTTTGTTCTTTCTCAAGATTGCTTTGGCTACTTGGGGCCTTTTGGGTTCCATATGAATTTCAGAATTTTTTTTCTATCTCTGAAAAAAAATGCCATTGGAATCCTGATAGGGATTTGCATTAAACATACAGATGGCTTTGAGTAGTATGGACAATATTAACTCTCAATCCATGAGTGGAGGATATCTTTTCATTTTATTTGTCTTCTTCAATTTCTTTCCAGTATTTTACAGTTTTCAGTGTTTAGATCTTTTACTTCCTTATTTAAATTCATTCCTAAGTATTTTATCATTTTGATACAATGGTAAATGAGCTTTTATTTCTTTGTCAGACAGTGTATTGTTGGTGCATCGAGATGCAACCGATTTCTGCAAGTTGGTTTTGTATCTTGTACTTTACCGGATTGATTGATGGGTTGTAATGGTTTCTTGGTAGAATCTTTAGTGTTTTCTCTATGTAAGATCACACCAACTGCAAATAAAGACAATTCTATTCTACCTTTTAGGTATAGATGGCTTTTATTTATTTTCCTTGCCTGATCGCTCTGGCTAGGACTTCCGGTACTATGTTGAATAGGAGTGCTGTGAGCAGACACTCTTGTCTTGTTCCTGATCTTAGAGGGAAATCTCTCAACCTTTTTCCATTGAGACTGATGTTAGCTGCGTGCCTGTGATATATGGCCTTCACTGTGTTGAGGCATATTCCTTCCATATCCACTTTGTTGAAAGTATCATGAAAGGACACTGAATTTTGTCAAATGCTTTTCCTGCATCTATTGAGATGACCATAGGATTTTTAGCCTTCATTCTATTAATGTAGTATATCACATTTATTGTTTTGCAGATGTTAAACCATTCTTGCATCCAAGGATAATTACCACTTGCCCATGGTGTAGGATTCTTTCAATGGGTTGTTGAACTCAGTTTGCGAGTATTTTACAGATAATTTCTGCGTGCGTGTTCATCAGGGACTTTGGCCTATAGTTTTGTTTGTGGTACCTTGGGATCAGGGTAATGTTGGCCTTGTAAAATGAGTTTGAGAAGGACTGGTATTAATAATTCTCCTTTAAATGTTTGGTAGAATTCACCTGTGACTACTGTTGGGTCCATTTGGCCTAAAGTATAGTTTAAGTCCAATGTTTCCTTATTGATTTTCTGCGTGGATGACCTATCCATCATTAAAAGTGGGGTATTAAGGGGCACCTGGGTGGCGCAGTTGGTTAAGCGTCCGACTTCAGCCAGGTCACGATCTCACGGTCCGTGAGTTCGAGCCCCGCGTCAGGCTCTGGGCTGATGGCTCAGAGCCTGGAGCCTGTTTCCGATTCTGTGTCTCCCTCTCTCTCTGCCCCTCCCCCGTTCATGCTCTGTCTCTCTCTGTCCCAAAAATAAATAAACGTTGAAAAAAAAAATAATAAAAAAAAAAAAAAAGTGGGGTATTAAAACCCCCTACTATTATTGTGCTGTTGTCTATTTGTCCCTCCAGGTCTGTTAGTATTTGTTTATTCAGGTTATATTCAGATGGTTCTCCACTGTCGCACGCATACATATTTAAAATTGTTGTATCCTCGTAAAGAGTCAACTTCACCATTATCACGTGATGACCTTCTTTGTTTCTTGGTATGGTGTTTGGCCTAAAGTCCGTTCTGTCTGATATAGCTACTTCTGCTACTTTTTGGTCTCCATTTTCATGGGGTCTCTTTCCCATCCCTTCACCTTGAGTTTATGTGTGTCCTTAAAGCTGAAGGGACTCTCTTGTAGGCAGCATGCAGTTGAGTCTTGTAGGTTTTTTAAATTTATTCTGCGACTCTATATTTTTGATTGGAGAATTTAATCCATTTACATTAAAATAATTATTGACAGGTTAGGAACTTACGAATGCCATCTTATTTGTTTTCCGGCTGTTTTGTAGTTCTTTTCTTCCTCTCTTGTTGTCTTCCTTTGTGATTGGATGGTTTCTCGTCGCGGTATGCTTAGATTCTCTTCTGACTTATGTGCACAACTCAGCTCTTTGTCATTATATTGAGGCTTACACAAAACATCTTATAAATGTAACAGTCGGTTTTAAGGTGATAACAACTTCACTTTGATGGTACGCAACAATTCTGCCCTTTTGTCCCTCCCCATCATATTTTACGTTTTTTGGTGTCATAAGTTATATCTTTTAATATTGTGCATCCACTAACAAATTGTTGTAGCTATAGCTATTTTTTTTTGAGAGGGAGGATGACAGAGAGAGAGAAAGCATGAGTGAGGGAAGGGCAGAGGGAGAGGGTGAGAGTGTGTGAGTGAGGGAAGGGAAAAGAGAGGGAGAAAGAGAGACAGAGACAGAGAGAGAATCTTAAGCAGGGCTTAAGATGCAGGGCTCGATCCCACGACCTGGGGAATCACGACCTGAGCTGAAATCAAGAGTGGGACGCACGGGGCGCCTGGGTGGCGCAGTCGGTTAAGCGTCCGACTTCAGCCAGGTCACGATCTCGCGGTCCGTGAGTTCGAGCCCCGCGTCAGGCTCTGGGCTGATGGCTCAGAGCCTGGAGCCTGTTTCCGATTCTGTGTCTCCCTCTCTCTCTGCCCCTCCCCCGCTCATGCTCTGTCTCTCTCTGTCCCAAAAATAAATAAACATTGAAAAAAAAAAATTTAAGAGTGGGACGCTCAACGGACTGAGCTGCCCACGTACCCCCGGAACACAGACATTTGCATTTCAGATTCTCACTACCTGCTGCTTTGAATACTGGCTAAGTTCTTCCTACCTTGTAGTAGTTTTCATCAGCACGGAGCGCTTTGGAAAGTCCAAAATCACTGATCTTGGCATAGTGTTGAGTAACCAGCAAGACGTTTCTTGCCGCCAGATCTCTGTGCACAAAATTGCTCTCCTCCAGATACTTCATTCCCATAGAAACCTGATGAACCAGCTCTATGATGTTCTTATCCTTGACGTGCCTGAAAGTTACAGATGTGTCATGAGTGATAGCAGACCGTAGTTCAAGTATGTTCCTCAGGTAAGCAGAGGGGTCCACGCATTGCCTATTGTCCGTCAGAGTAACAACTGGTGACAAAAACCTTGTTAATCTATGGCTGCCCAAAGCCGAGCACCATTGTCCTGGTCTCGAACCGGTACGCTTTTCAAGGTGTGCTTTGAACTGCGTGAGAAGTAACACAATGGCGTGGGCAGCCCCCACTCATGGAGGGCCAGGCTTCGGTTGGAACCCTTGTTCCAAAATGGGACAGGTAACAAAACCAACCGAGTCTCCATTTCTTACCTGTGGAGTGAGGTTAACGGCGCCTCCCTTCTCTGCAGATTAAAGACACAATCTGAGTAGAGTACAAACACAATGTAGCCAACGGGACAAAGTAGTCGGTGGCTGTTCATATGACTTATTCCATGTGAGTTCCTCCCTCTCAACAATGGCTGTAGATGAGCCCAGCAGGAATACCCCACCAACAGTTGTAACCCATTGATAGCAACAGATATTTTCAGAATTACTTGTAGGAATGTAGAGGTCAGCCAGACACATAAGACATCACTATCTCCCCTTTAAAAATGTTGATTTTGGGGGCGCCTGGGTGGCTCTGTCAGTTAAGCGTCCAACTTTGGCTCAGGTCATGATCTCACAGTTTGTGGGTTCAAGCCCCGCGTTGGGCTCTGCACTGACAGCACGGAGCTTCCCTGGGATTCTCTCTCCCCCCCCCCGCCCCTCCCCCAATCACTTAAAGTAAATACACTTAAAAAAATAAAAATGAATGTTCAATATTTCTCTCACTAGGCAGGGCATGTTCTGCCAGCGAGGGGAGCCTGCTTCTATGGTGGATTCTATCACTGGGCAATTCGGAGTGAGCAAAGGACCATGAAGAAGACGAAATTGTTGGACTGGAGGTTTTCTTAGCACAACAAGTGCAAAAAGAACATTTGATCAGAAGACTACCGCTCTTTCCCCTCCTCCCTCAAGGCCCCGTAAGGGTGGGCCCACACTGGGAAGGCGTGGGAGGAGACAAAGCTTCCCAGAGAAATCGGGCTATGACGTACACTGGGCTGGTGGGTTTTGCCCCAGCACAGTGTAAGCTTCCGGCCTACGCCAAGTTACCTGTTCTGCTGTAAATACTTGTTGAGCGGACCCAGCTCCGCCATCTCCATCACCAGCATCCAGGACTCGGCTTCACAGATGCCGATCATGCGCACGATGTAAGGGTTATCGAGCTGCTGCATGACGTTGGCTTCCGCTAATAACTCATCTTTAAGAGCGGGGTCGTTAGCCTCGTTCTTCAGAATCTTCACAGCCACCGTTTTCACGACTCTGCGAAAGAAATCGTAACACATAAGAAAGAAAGTTTTCAAAGTGGCCGGGGTTTAGGTAATTGCCTTCTGCGGGGCGTAACTGCTCTGCTAGAAATGGGGTTCTGGAAACAGCTGCAACCACATTCTCTCTGCTTTACAGGCAAAGAGAGTCGCCCTTCATTAGTTAAAGGGGGGAGCTGAAGAACAGTCCGAGCAAGCAGAGCCTAAATATTATAGAATATGAGTAGCTTTCAAATAAACCTTACAAACCATGACATGCATGAGTTCCTATACCATCTACAGGTGATCTGTGATGTATGTGAATACAATGTTCCTTTGATATATGTTTAAAATGAATTTCTGGATGCAGAATTGAAAAGCACACACTGTTCAAGCTCATTGTTTACAAAACACTTTTTAAAACTGGGCACCGATGCTTTTAAGCAAGCTTCAACAAGTTTGTAAAAAATTAACTGTTTTTCATTTTCTCATAACAACATCACATAGGTCACATTTGACCTCCTGAAAATATTCTGATATAATGGGACTGAAATAAATGGGTGGAACTTAGCTGTGGAGGATTTAGAAAACTGCATTTCTCTATGATACAATTCCCACACAGGAATTACACCTCATTGGTTGAACCCCCAAGTGGGAGAATAAAAATAGGTCTGTCCCACAAAACAGGTAGAATAAGAGAATAACAGAGTAAGTCTAACATACATTCAGAACGACACAGACACCTTCTGTGCAGATCTTAACAAGTGTTTCCACACTGAACACACACTGTAGTTCCTACACAAACACACCCCCAGCACCCCAAGAGCATCCCTCGCCCTTCTGCAATCATGGACATATTTCCCTATGTTATTTCTAGATAGTTTTATCATTGTACCTTTCCACATTTCAGTCCACCGTCCGTGTGGAACTGGGTTTGCATACGACGTGAGGTAGGGATCAAAATGAAGAGCAAAAATCTCTTGATTCTTCCCAACCCGTCCTTTCTTAAGGAAGAAAAAACACCCACAGTCCCCTCAAGAAAAGAAAAGAGGAAGGAAGCCCCCAACTCATCTTATGAGGCCAGCATTACCCTGATGCCAAAACCAGGCAAAGAAATTCCAAGAAAATAAGCTACTGAAATCTCTCATGAACATAAATGCGAATATTCTAAGAGAAGTATTAGTAAATTAAATTCACTGAGTTATGAAAAAGGTAGAATGAGCATGTAATTCACAAACAAGATGTGTGCGTTCCACATCTTGTTGGTTTTAACATCGGAATGAGAGGTGGCTTTAACATTTGAAAATCAATCCGTGCATTTCACCATGTAAACACAATAAAGGAGAAAAACCATAAGGTCATCTCAGCAGAGGAAAACAAGTGCTCAGTAAACTGTAATATACATTCATGATTAAAAATAAATCTCTCAGAGAGTAAGAACTGATGGAAACTTTCCTAATCTGATAAAGAGCAGCTATAAACCTAATAGTGAGATATTTAAAGTATCCCCCGTCACAAAATCAAGAATGAGAAATGAGGTTACTTCCAGTTTTATTCAACACTGAGCCACAATTCTGGGCTAATACAACAAGGCAAGAAAGAAATATCAAAGCATAAGGATTAGACAGGATGAAATAAAACTGTCTTTATTCACAGATGACACATTCCGGGTCAAAGAATACACTGATAAATGACTAGAAATGATTTGAGGGGTAACGGATGAATTCAGTCAAGGATGCTGATGATCAAGTCAAGAGGTGAAACTGGTCCTATTTCCATATCCAAGCAACACTGGAGATTAGCAAATGAAATTCTAAAAACTATAGCATATATATTAACATCTAAAATACTAAATACCTCCAAATGAATCCAAGAAGAAATCCAAGACTGCTACAAAGGAAACTACACCCTACACAGAAACTACACCCTACACAGAAACCTACAACCCACACAGGAAGCTACACTCTATACAAGAAGCTATACTCTACACAGGAAACAACACCCTATAGAGGAAACTACACCCAACACAGAAACTACACCCTACACAGGAAACAACACCCTACACAGGAAACAACACCCTACACAGGAAACTACACTCTACACAGAAAATTACACTCTATATAGAAAATGAAACAACCCTACTTGAGAGAAACCTGAGAAGTCAAGAGCCACGTAAGTGGAAAAATGGGTTATGTTTATTGATTGGAAGACTCATTATTGTGAAGACATCATTTTGCCCTAAATTGACCTACATGGCCCCTCCTCTCCCCAAATCCTCTAGCTGAAATTACGTCTCTATAGTTATGCCTATGTTAATTCGTGTATTTGATTAAGCAAGGAATGTAAATGTCACAAACTAGTGAAGAAAATTTATGCCTTAATACAGGGTAATTTATATTCATTTCACAAATAACTGTGATATGCATACATGTATCTTCAAATGAGCATATCAGTCGATTACACACACCCAACAAAACGATATTGAAAGCAAGAGTTTCTGTGCGTGCTTTCGCACTTGAAGATTCTTGACGCTTGAATAATGTAGATCTACTTACGTAAGAAAAAACATTGATAAAATGTCTTCAATTTAAAATAATACCTAACAGCTAAACCCGATTATCAGTTAACACACTAATGCCAACACGCACGTTCAGAGATATGGTGTGTCTGGAAAGACCATACAGACCAGTATCTTTACTGCACCGTCTCTGTGGGACGCCTTCTAAAGAGCAAGTCACGTACGGCGATCTCAGTGACCCAGCAATTCTATTTATCGTATGAATGTGCTGTTATTTGAAAATGTAGGAAAAAGCAAATATCATTTCACTCATGATATTTGTAGTCAGGAATTTTATGGGTAAGAGAAATAGGACACAATTTAACAAATAAGATAAAATAACTGAACACACACACACACACACACACTATTGTTAGTTAACAGTAGCGGTATCTGGGGGGCATAAATATGATGTTCTACTTTTATCACATTTTGCTTGTTTCTACCTTCTAATTCTCTAAAAGGCACGCTCACACCACCCTAACACAGGTAATTAGTATTTACGTAGTTCCCATACGCAATGGATGCTTGCATTGTAACTCTACCAGAAATGAACAAGAATGGACTTGCTAACAAAGACACATTCAGCTGTGCTGGGTTGTATTTGTGTTTGGGATGTGCATTTACAGGTGGTGCCCAGAAGGTCCGCTTGCGGGAGGACGTGCGGGGTGGTGTTGCAGCCATGACTTACTTTTTCATCTGGTAGTAGCCCTTCTTCACGGTCCCGAAGTTACCAGAGCCCAGTTCGTTGTCCTCCAGGGTCAGCAGCTTGCGGTCCAGGTAGACTTCCTTGGGCCTGATCTCCTCGGGGTCCGCATACGGGCTTTCATACACCTCGGTGTCCATGGGCAAGGCCTCTCTCTGGGCGTCTGCAGGGCGGTCCGGAAAACACAAGCTTAGGGCTGGACCCCCGGTGAAACTCCCATCATCTCCCACCCCCGGCCTCCTGCCCCCCCCACCTCCCCTTTCCAGACCTTGGTCACCTCGTGCGGTTACGGCGCCAGTGAGCACAGTCTCTCCCAGTTTGTTGGGGGGGGGGGGCAGTGAACAGCCCCTCTTCCCCGCCGGGCCCGACCCCATTCTTGCACGAATGTGCATAGAGAAAGGGTCTTTCAATGCCAGGGGCAAAGACGGAGGGAGGCCTTCCTACCGCATGTAAAAATTCTGACACGCCTTCTAATGAGGGGTGAGGTCTATGTCACGCCCCCTCGGCCCCCAGTGGCTTTTGTAACCGTGTCAACGTCAACCAACAGAATGTATGGGAAGGGACGTCTGTATACACTCGGGCGAGGTTGTAAAGGACCAGGAACCATCTGCACTGTTGGCTGGAAACATGGCTCTCGAGCTTCAGACACCACGCGAGGCGTCGGGCCGTCCGGACGCTTTCCACGCTGTGAGCAAGCCCACGCCAGCCCCCGCCAGGAGACGGCCGCGGAGGCCCCTGGACGAAGCAGGGGCGAGATGCCGGCCGGCCCCCGTGCTCCAGCCTCGCCCCGCCTCCCCCCTGCCCGGCGTGCCCAGACCCCTGACCCGCAGGAGACCCTTCGACAACCGCGGCCATTTTAAGCTGCTAAGTTTGGGGTTCGTTTCTGCAGCAATGCACGGACTGACCAAGCTCACCGATAAAAATGTAACCCGGAGTCACACAGAGAACCCGGAAAGGGTTCCCACTTGTGACAACCAGTCTGGCCGAGGGCTACGGGCGTCACGGAGGGTGTGGTGCGCCCTCGTGAACTGGGCCCTCCTGTGGCCTCAGGGCCCCTGCACTTCCCTCAGTGCGGCTAGAATTCCAGCCACCCAGACATCCCTTCCGTCCGGAGCAGCCCCGCGTCACCGCCCCTTCTGCGGAAGCGTGTTGGCGGTAGACGGACACACACACCCTTCCAAGGACGCGGTCCTAGAGCCGTGAACTGGCGGTGTTACCGGACGAGCCCTTCTGGAGCAGCAGCATGGAAGAACGCTTTCCGTGAGGCCGTGTCCCCGACAGGGAGGCCTCGGAGACCTCTTCATGCCCCAGAACACCATTGGCCCCAGGCAGGTGACACCCGCCACCGGCCACCGGCCAGCAGCGTCACCCATGCTGAGCCACCGCTAAGTCGGGCCGGCGCGACTGCGGTGCGGTGAATGGCCTGCGACCCACGAGTGCGTTTCTCACCTCTGTCCGTGGGCCAGGGCCCGCGGTCCGGCTCGTACGGATTGAAGGTCACGGCGCTCTCTGGCCGGCTCCCTTGGGATGTGGAGGCCTGAAGCACACAGACGACAGCAGGTCACTTTCCTTCACGGGTGCTCTGTCGGACTGATCTGCACAGTTACTTGCAGTTTCAAAGAATCACATTTGAACTTACGCAGAGAAGACAAACGAAAGAATCAGGAAGAGAGACAAAAAAACCACGTGGCTTATCTCATTCTTCGGGCAGCTGTTTGGACCCCGCGAAGGCTCAACAGAGCTTGTGCAGGGGGTCCCCGCTCACAGACCCTTTTCAATCCTGTTTCCACCTATCAAAAGATCCCCTGGATTCGTCTTCCTGGCTCAACTCTTTCTTTTCACTTTTATGTCCTATTAAAGTTATTTAAGAAGAAACACTGAGGGGCGCCTGAGTGGCTCAGTCAGTTAAGTGTTCGACTTGAGCTCAGGTCACGATCTCACCACTCGTGAGTTCAAGCCCCGTGTCAGGCTCTGTGCTGACAGCTCAGGGCCTGGAGCTGCTTCGGATTCTGTGTCTCCCTCTCTCTCTGCCCCTCCCCATCTCAAAAATAAATAAACATTAAAAAAGAAGAAACTGTGAATATCTACTAGCTGCTTCCACGCCCTCCCTGACTCCAAAGCGTCTACACAGTCCTAGTTTCTGCCTGTATCTTACCCTCCACGGAGATCTAGCTACGTGTGGGGGAGATGCCAGAGTGGGGGCACCGGCCAGTGAGCTATCGGTCCCATGGGGACGCGGCTGCCGCTGGCCAGAGCCCAGTGCTGCTAGTAATGACAATAATCACAGACCCTGTGCGGGGGGGGGGACCTGTTATCCAAACCCGAGGGAAAGGAAATCTGCCCAGTACCCCAAGCAGGTAACGGAAAACGGTTTGCTGGCCGTTATTAACGGCAACGACTCATTATTTATTTGATGTGCGTTAATTTGCATTATGAAATAAGAGGGTGTGGGGACGATCTACTCCTTACGTCCCTATAAACTTTCCCTCCTGAAAGTCTCCATCTTGAGTCTTCCTGGCCACCTCCACCCTCTCAACTGAAAACAAGGGTCAATTGGTCAATTTGGTTCATGGAAAAAAAAAATCACAATTCAAACTCTTTTTTTGGTTTGTTTTGGTGTGACTTGAATAGGGGTTTACATACCCATGAACCTCATCGGCGCCCAAACACCGGCCACGAAGAAGTGAAATACTGCCAGATTTTGGAGAAATTTAAAGAAACGGAGACATCAAGCTTAATTTTACATTGCCACGTGTTTTGCGTCACACAATGCATCCTCACCCGCCCTCCTGACATCACAGGACCCAGAACCACAAGTACGATAATAGAGTCACAAGGCACCGTGGCCACGCCTCGGCCACTTGTCTCCAAAACCTTGACCTCCTTGTTCAGGCCGACTACCGAGCGCCACGGGCCCACTGCTCACAGTGGCAAAGGCCCAGGTGACCAGGCTACGGACGCCCGCTCTCACGTGTCAACCGGTGGGCCTGGCTCCACGTTCTCCTCTGACTACCTGAGCGTTCCCGCCGCACTCACAGGAGAGGCACCACGTGTCGAGGGTGCAAACGGTGTAAGGCACAGTCGTGCATTCGCTACACCCAGGCTTCGTCTTGCCCACCGCTGGTGCTCCATAAAAATGTGCCAAACACGTACCAACGAATGAATGAGTGAGTGAATGAGTGAGTGAATGAATGAATGAACGAAGATAATGCCTCAAAGCTGGGAGATGTGAAGAATGAGTCAGTGTGATTTAAAAACGATTTAGGGGTGCCTGGGTGGCTCCGTCGGTTGAGCGTCCGACTTCGGCTCAGGTCATGATCTCACAGTGAGTTCGAGCCCTGCACTGGGCTCTGTGCTGATGGCTCGGGGCCTGGAGCCTGCTTCAGATTCTGTGTCTCCCTCTCTCTCTGCCCCTCCCCTGCTTGTACTCTCTCTCTCTCTCTTAAAAATAAACATTAAAAAATTTTTAAAAAAAGCTTCTTTTAGGTTTACATTTACTATCCTTTCAACGTCTCATCTTGGCTGCAGGTGGGAAACTGAGATCCAAAGACAAAACTTTGACACGAGGACCCGCCGTCCTGGGCAAGGGGAGGGCACCAGCACCCCTTCTCCTGACCTTGAGACCTGCCCTGTGACCCTTAGCGCAGTATCCTGGGGCTATAACTGCTTCACCCTGAGCGAATGTTCTTCAGAGCAGTGGACTTCACAAATTAAAGGCAGAAGGCAGTGACCTGACAAGTGAATCCCATGGGGAAGGATTGGACAGTAGAGGTGGGGGTGTGTAAGTGACAGGGATGCCAGGGCACCAAGAGCAGGTGGGAACCACCAGTGACGGCCACAGTGACATCGGCAGGGTGGTGCTCACCCCCGGTCTGCCTCGGAGTAAGGACCGACCCGGGTTGGGGTCTCCCTCGGAAGGTCAGGCAGGCCCCCGTTTTCAGCCGAGGAGGCCGTGTGGACCACCACTCTGTTACGAGCCTTCACGGCCTGACCGAGCCCCACAGGACACTCACTAACCACATCTGCTCCCTGGCTGGGCCCCCAGGTCCTCCTCATCCTCACTGGCGGGGGGGGGGGGGGGGGGGGGGGGCAGAGGATGACACTCTGGAGAATGTTCTTTGGAAGAAATGGGAGACTTTCTGTCGTGTCAGTTACCAGGGCGGCAGTGACACTGTGACGAAAGTAAAGACGTAAAACCAGTTTCCTGTCTCCTGAAGTGTTCGATGGATACGCCACTTAGTAGGACAACGCCCAACACCCTCTGGGATCGAGGGTTCACAGCTGAAAAGAATTCAAAGACTTTGTTTGTACAGAATGGGCTCTGAGGCAGGATGCTAAGTTATAAAAGTATTGATGAGTATTACAACTTAACGACATTTTAATTTAGTGAAAAACATACTGCGGGCCTATTATATCATTTATCATTATTCTTTCTGATTTGTGTCGGTGGTTTATTCCGCCCTAATCAATATCAGCGCCCTGTCTGCATAGAGAACAAGGTGTAAACGAAATGTTGGCAGGTGCGTTTTCCCTGTGTTTGCGGACGTTCCAAACAGAGCTCAGGCCCGCCGGCCACCACTAGATGGCGCTAGGTCCCTGCGTGTTCTGCGTCCCAAAGACCAACTTGCTGCCTTTTCTTCAAGTTTTACGCACGGAGGTGAAAACAGGTCACTCCACAACAATAAAAATAAGACCAGATTAGGTCTGAAATTCGAATCCCCCATCTCTCACTGGCCGGGCTTGACCGCAAGCATAACATTCTCTGGGAGCCGATGTGTATCTGGGGATTCAGAGGTGAACAGACGAGTAAAAAATACATTGTCCTCACAGCGCTGACAGGTAACCCAGCTTCCTGACCCGTGTGTCTGGAGCTGTGTCCTAACATCCATTTCTAGACCTTAATTTTTAGACTCCTTGACAGACATTTTGCAGTCAGGCACAGCAGTAATGAAGGTGGCCCCATATGTGTCACTGTTGCAGGGACTAAGAAGGGGCTGTAGGCCTCAGAGCCATCGCGGATGGGGCTCCGGTCTCTGGTGGCGTGACCGTGGTCCCAGTGGGGAGCAGGGACCCGCGGCCGAAGGCACACTTCCTCGGCCAGGGCACGGAACGATACCGAGTCTGCTTCAAATTCACGCCAACCAACACCTGAACCTCACGATTGATCGTCTCTCACCTTCGGAGCAGAGGTCCACAACGTGGCCCTTGACAGTGACGTGGAAACATGTTTTCTCAAGGGTCTGGGTCACTGCTTCGGCGTTACTGTGTAAGTGGCTATGACTCTACAACCCCTCTTTCCTTTCCTTCCCTCTTGCAACTCAGCCCCAGAGAACTGTGTATTTAAATATGAGACTTAAAAATACCCCCGTCACCAGTGCAGAGGTTGGCATGAAACACGGGTTTCAATGTGAAATTCTGGAACACGTTTCCACCGAGGTAAACATCCATGCTGTGTGGCGCTTTGAGGGCACGCGCCTTGGTGACGCGAGGCTGGGGTGCTGTCTTTTAAAATGCTGCTGTTCAGACTCTGCTGGTTCTCTGTTTGTGTGCTTAGCCAAGCACGACGAACATTCTGGTATCTGGTAGTGGTAGGGGCTTCGTTCATTTAAGGATTTCCAGTCTTCAAAGCAAGTGTGTGGAGGGGTAGGGAGAGGGTGAATCATACTTGCATTCATAATTTGACTTTGTTTCTGTGTTTAGGTGTGAAGATGTTCCTAACCTCGAAGGAAAATTTTAAAATATCCCTGCTCCTAAGTTTTTATTAGGACATCTCTAATATCTGATTAACAAGCTTTTTCAAGTCAAAACACACTTTTCATTAACCACCCACATGCTAGAATTAATTCAAGTTCTGACATGTACTTTTTGTGCCTGAATCATTAAAAACAACTCTGTACGTTGGTCAAATTAACAAACTCAAGAGCGTCATTTGCACCTTAGCTAACCAGACAGGGTATCTGACATAATTCCCCTAAATGCTTCCTCCTGACTGCTTCACGAATAGAAAATTCCTCTTCTATTTACAAAAACATAAATACCAGCTCTCCTAACATATTTCTGAATAGCGATTAAAATACATTTAATCCATAACTTAAATCACACAATGCTTCTTTATTGATATCTTTGGCATCTAGGGAAAATCAATGGATATTTCAAAAATGTTATAAATTTAAATAGGCAATAGCCTTTTTTTTTTTTTTTGCCAGAGACGTATCTTCATAGTATTAATCAGATTAATTAGTTTCTTTTTTAAAAATGCTTATTTATTTTTGAGAAAGAGAGGGTGGGCAGGGGAGGGTCAGAGAGAGGGAGACACAGAATCTGAAGAGGCTCCAGGCTCTGAGTTGTCAGCACAGAGCCCGACTTGGGCTCGAACTCACAAACTGTGAGATCATGACCTGAGCTGAAGTAGAATGCTCAACCATCTGAGCCACCGGACGCCCCAGATTAATTAGCTCCTAATCCTAATTCTAATTAGAAATTCTTTCTAATTTCCCTTTTTAAAACTATCATTAAATAAATTCAAGAGGTACAAAT